ATTTTGTTTCTATATATAGTATAGATGTATGGATAGATAGATAGGTTACAATAAGAATTGTATTACATTATTTTATGATTTTAGAATAGAATTTTAACACACAATTATTGTACGAATATGAAAGTAAAAATAAATATATTTTATTAGGAAGAGTGAATTTTTAGGAATTGGGTGGGAAGTAAAAATTGCAGGATTTTATTTTTATATATAGTATAGATGTATAGATAAATAGATAGATTATAATAGGAATTGTATTACATTATTTTATGATTTTAGAATAGAATTTTATCCCAGAATTATTCTACGAATAGGAATGTAGAAATCAATATATTTTATTAGAAAGAGATATTTTTTAGGAATTGGGCGGGAAGTTAAAATTGCATAATTTTGTTTTTATATATAGTATAGATGTATAAATAGATAGATTACAATAGGAATTGTATTACATTATTTTATGATTTAGAATAGAATTTTAACCCAGATTTATTGTACGAATAGGAAAGTAGAAATCAATATATTTTATAAGGAAGAGAGATTTTTTAGGAATTGGGAGGCAAGTTAAAATTGCAGGATTTTGTTTTTATACATAGTATAGATAGATGTATAGATAGATAGATAGATTAAAATAGGAATTTTATTACTTTATTTTATGATCTTAGAATAGAATTTTAACCCAGAATTATTGTACAAATAGGAAAGTAGAAATCAATATATTTTATTAGGAAGAGAGATTTTTTAGGAATTGGGCGGGAAGTTAAAATCGCTGGATTTTGTTTTTATATATAGTATAGATGTATAGATAGATAGATAGATTACAATAGGAATTGTATTACATTATTTTTTGATTTTAGAATAGAATTTCAACCCAGAATTATTGTACGAATAGGAAAGTATAAATCAATATATTTTATTAGGAAGAGAGATTTTTTAGGAATTGGGCGGGAAGTTAAATTTGCAGGATATTGTTTTTATATATAGTATAGATGTATAGATAGATAGATAGATTACAATAGGAATTGTATTACATTATTTTTTGATTTTAGAATAGAATTTTAACCCAGAATTATTGTACGAATAGGAAAGTAGAAATCAATATACTTTATTAGGAAGAGAGATTTTTTAGGAATTGGGCGGGAAGTTAAAATTGCAGGATTTTGTTTTTTATATATATAGTATAGATAGATAAATAGATAGATGTATAGATAAATAGATAGATTAGAATAGGATTTGTATTACATTATTTTATGATTTTAGAATAGAATTTTAACCCAAAATTATTGTACGAATGGGAAAGTAGAAATCAATATATTTTATTTGGAAGAGAGATTTTTTAGGAATTGGGCGGGAAGTTAAAATTGTAGGATTTTGTTTCTATATATAGTATAGATGTATAGATAGATAGATAGATTACAATAGGAAATGTATTACATTATTTTATGATTTTAGAATTTTAGAATAGAATTTTAACCCAGAATTATTCTACGAATTGGAAAGTAGAAATCAGTATATTTTATTAGAAAGATAGATTTTTTAGGAATTGAGCGGGAAGTTAAAATTGCAGGATTTTGTTTTTATATATAGTATTGATGTATAGATAGATAGATAGATTAAAATAGGAATTGTAATACATTATTTTATGATCTTAGAATAGAATTTTAACCCAGAATTATTGTACGAATGCGAAAGTAGAAATCAATATATTTTATTAGGAAGAGAGATTTTTTAGGAATTAGGCGGAAAGTTAAAATTGCTAGATTTTGTTTTTATATATAGTATAGATAGATGTATAGATAGATACATAGATAGATAGATAGATAGATAGATTACAATAGGAATTGTATTACATTATTTTTTGATTTTAGAATAGAATTTTAACCCAGAATTATTGTACGAATACGAAAGTATAAATCAATATATTTTATTAGGAAGAGAGATTTTTTAGAAATTGGGCGGGAAGTTTAAATTGCAGGATATTGTTTTTATATATAGTATAGATAGATAGATTACAATAGGAATTGTATTACATTATTTTTTTTATTTTAGAATAGAATTTTAACCCAGAATTATTGTACGAACAGGAAAGTAGATATCAATATATTTTATTATGAAGAGAGATTTTTTAGGAATTGGGCGGGAAGTTAAAATTGCAGGATTTGGTTTTTATATATAGTATAGAAGTATAGATATAGATGTATAGATAGATAGATAGATTACAATAGAAATTGTATTACATTATTTTTTGATTTTAGAATAGAATTTTAACCCAGAATTATTGTACGAATAGGAATGTAGAAATCAATATATTTTATTAGGAAGAGAGATATTTTAGGAATTGCGCGGGAAGTTAAAATTGCAGGATTTTGTTTTTTTTTATATAGTATAGATATAGATGTATAGATAGATAGATAGATTACAATAGGAATTGAATTACATTATTTTTTGATTTTAGAATAGAATTCTAACCCAGAATTATTGTACGAATAGGAAAGTAGAAATCAATATATTTTATTAGGAAAAGAGATTTTTTAGGAATTGGGCGGGAAGTTAAAATTGCAGGATTTTGTTTCTATATATAGTATATATAGATGTATAGTTAGATATATTGGTTACAATAGAAATTATATTACATTATTTTTTGATTTTAGAATAGAATTTTAACCCATAATTATTGTACGAATAGGAAAGTATAAAACAATATATTTTATTAGGAAGAGTGAATTTTTAGGAATTGGGTGGGAAGTAAAAATTGCAGGATTTTGTTTTTATATATAGTATAGATGTATAGATAGATAGATAGATTATAATAGGAATTGTATTACATTATTTTACGATTTTAGAATAGAATTTTAACCCAGAATTATTCTACGAATAGGAATGTAGAAATCAATATATTTTATTAGAAAGAGATATTTTGTAGGAATTGGGCGGGAAGTTAAAATTGCATAATTTTGTTTTTATATATAGTATAGATGTATAGATAGATAGATTACAATAGGAATTGTATTACATTATTTTATGATTTAGAATAGAATTTTAACCCAGAATTATTGTACGAATAGGAAAGTAGAAATCAATATATTTTATTAGGAAGAGAGATTTTTTAGGAATTGGGCGGGAAGATAAAATTGCAGGATTTTGTTTTTATATATAGTATAGATGTATAGATAGATAGATAGATTAAAATAGGAATTGTATTACATTATTTTATGATCTTAGAATAGAATTTTAACCCAGAATTTTTGTACAAATAGGAAAGTAGAAATCAATATATTTTATTAGGAAGAGAGATTTTTTCGAAATTGGGTGGGAAGTTAAAATTGCTGGATTTTGTTTTTATATATAGTATAGATGTATAGATAGATAGATAGATAGATTACAATAGGAATTGTATTACAATATTTTTTTGATTTTAGAATAGAATTTTAACCCAGAATTATTGGACGAATAGGAAAGTAGAAAACAATATATTTTATTAGGAAGAGAGATTTTTTAGGAATTGGCCGGAAAGTTAAAATTGCAGGATATTGTTTTTGTATATAGTATAGATGTATAGATAGATAGATAGATTACAATAGGAATTGTATTACATTATTTTTTGATTTTAGAATCGAATTTTAACCCAGAATTATTGTACGAATAGGAAAGTAGAAATCAATATATTTTATTAGGAAAATAGATTTTTTAGGAATTAGGCGGAAAGTTAAAATTGCAGGATTTTGTTTGTATATATAGTATAGATAGATAGATGTATACATACATAGATAGATTATAATAGGATTTGTATTACATTATTTTATGATTTTAGAATAGTATTTTAACCCAGAATTATTGTACGAATAGGAAAGTAGAAATCAATATATTTTATTTGGAAGAGATTTTTTTTAGGAATTGGGCGGAAAGTTAAAATTGCAGGATTTTGTTTCTATATATAGTATAGATGTATAGATAGATAGATAGATTACAATAGGAAATGTATTACATTATTTTATAATTTTAGAATTGAATTTTAACCCAGAATTATTGTACGAATTGGAAAGTAGAAATCAATATATTTTATTAGGAAGATAGATTTTTTAGGAATTGAGCGGGAAGTTAAAATTGCAGGATTTTGTTTCTATATATAGTATAGATGTATAGATTGATAGATAGATAGATTATAATAGGAATTGTATTACATTATTTTATGATTTAGAATAAAATTTTTAACCTAGAATTGTTGTACGAATAGGAAAGTAGAAATGAATATATTTTATTAGGAAGAAAGATTTTTTAGGAATTGGGCTGTAAGTTAAAATTGCAGGATTTTGTTTTTATATATATTATATATGTATAGATAGATAGATAGATTATAATAGGAATTGTATTACATTATTTTATGATTTTAGAATAGAATTTTAACCCAGAATTATTCTACGAATAGGAATGTAGAAATCAATATATTTTATTAGAAAGAGATATTTTTTAGGAACTGGGCGGGAAGTTAAAATTGCATAATTTTGTTTTTATATATAGTATAGATGTATAGATAGATAGATTACAATAGGAATTGTATTACATTATTTTATGATTTAGAATAGAATTTTAACCCAGAATTATTGTACGAATAGGAAAGTAGAAATCAATATATTTTATTAGGAAGAGAGATTTTTTAGGAATTGGGCGGGAAAATAAAATTGCAGGATTTTGTTTGTATATATAGTATAGAGTATAGATTGTTATTGGTTGCTTTAAAAAAAATAAAGTATATAAATTTAAAGTAAAATGTATATTTTTATTAACGTACAAGAAAAGGACAAAAGTAGGGATATAACCTAGATCGATTGGTTATGTATTCATGAATGGTATATCAATGCTTGCATGGGTAGCTCAACTGGTCATAGAGGTGAAACTTTAGAAGAATGACTAGGGATTGAGTCTCACCAACGGAGGGAAATGACATAAAGTCAATCTAGTGTTTCGGCTATGACACATGCATCCCCATCTTAGTATCTCCGTGGAAGAAAACCTTTAATTTTATCCATTTGTACTGAGAAATCTAGCAAGAAACCACAATCCCACGATGGAATTCCTCTTCTATGTTGTCATCTGCGGTTTTCTCTTTCTGTATTTGCTAGCTAAACTCCTGAAATCCCAGAATTCAAGAACCCAGAAAACCCTGCCGCCTGGGCCAAGAAAGCTCCCTGGAATAGGGAATATGCATCAGCTTCTTGGGTCACAGACTCACCAAATCCTAGCAGACCTGGCCGCGAAACACGGACCCCTGATGCACTTACAGCTCGGCCTGGTCTCCACGGTCGTGGTCTCTTCGCCGCAGGTGGCTGAAGAGGTTATGAAAACGAAAGACATCATTTTTGCCCAGAGACCATACCTTCTTGCCTCCAGGATTCTCTCCTATGATTCCACCAACATTTGCTTCTCCCCCTGCGGGGATTACTGGAGACAGCTGCGAAGAATCAGCACGGTGGAGCTTTTAAGCACAAAACGCGTTCTCTCCTTTCGATCAATCAGGGAAGAGGAGATGTTTAATCTGATGGCCTCCATTTCTTCTTCGAACCAGAAGGGATCGACGTTCAATCTCAGCAGAGGGCTTTTCTCCATGACATATACTGTTACTGCGCGAGCTGCGTTTGGGAAACCCAGCAAACAACAGGAAGAGCTTATTAAGCTGACGGGGAAGGTGGTGGAGGTGTTTGAAGGTTTCAGCTTTGCAGACATGTATCCTGCTGTTAAATTGCTTGAAACTATTACTGGGTTGAGACCCAAGACTTTGAAACTGCATAAAAGTATGGATGCGATTCTCCAGTTAATTCTACGCGAGCATCGAGATAGAAGAATGAAAGCACAAATTAGTGAGGAGGAGGAGGATCTGGTTGATGTTCTTTTAAGGATTCAGGAAAATGGGGATCTCGAAATTCAATTGACTGATAACAACATCAAAGCTGTGATCTTGGTAAGTGAACTCAATGATCGATCTCTTTATCAAATTTAATTTGACTCAGTTGATTCGGTTGTAGACTTGATAATTAACCACAAAGTTACAGGTCTGACTTTTGCAAGACTCACCTATCAATCTTAGTTTGAGTCAATCATCTGTGGGTAATTTAGGTTCATTTATTGATCATTTGCCGATTAGCTAAGGTCACGAGATGGACATTCAACTCCCAATTGGAAAAGTCTTTTGGCCTTTTGGTTTGAGCGGTAGGTAGCTGATGTAGTAAATACTCTCCGGTATACGGATCTGAGTAGAAATTATAGTATAGGAGCTCAGGTAGTGAAAACCGAGGGTCGGAAGGTCCCGAGCGCATATGTACTCTTGAGACAGAATTGCACAAAAGTCTCAATTCCTTGCATTTAATGTGGTATTTATAGGGGAAGGGAGGAGACACACGTCCGGCGTCCGGCATGTCCGTCACGTGTTCCACATGCATTTGGGAAGATGATTCCTGACATGCTTATCCTCTATAGAATGGGAAGTGCTCCTGGTCGGAATACCCAGTTCGAGCTTCAAGGTCGGGACCGAGCTGATATCCAATAGTGAGTTCATATCTCTCCATAGGTCAGGTCGTGCCTCTTATCATGTCGGGAACCGATCCTCTCCGTGCATTAATATGGATCCGATTAGGTGCTCAGTCTGTACGGGTTGGTAGACCCGGGGTATATTCCCTATCACTAACCTAGGCTTGTTTACCTACTTGTGATCCGCCTCGTGCACACCGGTCTTTTCCCGAGTAAGGTCATGAGGCGGGTATGGACAACTTATACTTGTTTATCTCTTTGTAGCGACTAGGGTCACAAGGTGGGTATTTGACTCCCAATGGGAGCAGCCTATCAATTTTTTTATTTGAACCAATCAGATATGTCCCGTGCACACATGTGGCTAGCTAGTTTCCTTTGTCACAAAAAAAAAAAAAAAAAAAAAAAAAAAATCAATTATATACTTTGTAGTTGTAAATCATGATTCATGCATATATCAGGACATGTACATTGCTGGGAGTGAAACATCATCAACATCAATGGAGTGGACAATGTCGGAGATGCTAAAGAACCCAAAAGTGATGAAAAGGGCGCAAGCCGAGGTGAGAAAAGCATTCAGTAAAACAAGAACCGTAGATGAATCACGGCTTCATGAATTGAAGTATCTGCAAGCAGTGATTAAAGAAACATTCAGGCTCCATCCCCCTCTCCCCTTATTACTTCCAAGAGAATGCAGGGAGAGTTGTGAAATCAATGGTTATGAAATCCCAGAGAAATCCAAAGTCATAGTGAATGTTTGGGCCATTGGAAGAGACCCTGAATACTGGACTGAAGCAGAGAAATTCAACCCAGACAGGTTTCTTGATTCCACAGTGGATTACAAGGGAACTGACTTCGAATTCATTCCATTTGGAGCTGGAAGAAGGATATGCCCAGGAGTTTCATTTGCCTTAGCTAATATGGAGTTTCCACTTGCGAAATTGCTTTACCATTTTGATTGGAAATTCCCAGGGGGACAGAAGCCAGAAGAGCTAGACATGACTGAAACCTTTGGGTTGACTGTGAGGCGCAAAAATGATCTAAATCTGATTCCAATTCCTTATGAAGAAAGCTGATGAGGAAATCCCATTAATGTTATGAATTATTAGAGTGAAGTCTTATTTTGTGAAAATGGCACTTAACATGTATATAACCATCCAGGAGATTGTTCAATAAATGTTTGTTCATCCAAGATTCCATGAAGTTGGAAGATATGCCATATTTATATGTGCATTTTATGTTGACAAACAAGAACATAAAAACTATAGGAATTTTGGTCGACTGAGACTAGCTTAGTTGGTTTAACTAATCACTCTACAACTTAAGTCAGGATGACTCACAATTTACTTCATCCAGCACAACTAAGGGTTATAGGAATTTAGTTCATCACAGTAAAAAACAAAACAAATAAATTCCAACTTTAATTTTTTCATTCAATTTAAACTCCAATAAATTACAATGGTTATTCATTTTTTTTTTTTAATGAAACTTAACTTTTTTCTTTATTTTTTCACACATGAAAAGGCGATCGAGTTATTAGCACCAAGTATTGTGTCATTCAATAGCTGCAATTTCTTCATCCACTGCTTTCCTCCAACTTGATTCTGACACATACAACTTCGAAAGCTACATCTTTGCTCAATGTTAGGTACATGAGTACATCAGATCATAATCAATCATCCATGTTGGACTTTTTTCTTTTTGTTTCAGCTAGGTAGTGGATAGTGTTATTTATCACTTTAGAGTTAATAGTATTTTTCTTCCTTACAAGAGTGGGCAGATTTGAAGCGTGCGTCTTATATTGGCGGGGCGGTCCCCCAATATTATAATGCAAAAGTGGACGCCCAACTGAAAGCAAGTTATCATATGATGTCTGTTACTGTATTCTCAAGTATTCTTATCCTCCACCTCACAACTTAGTTGAGAATTGCAAAAGTTGTCAACATGACAGCTCAATTGGTCACAGAGTGAAATTTGAAAAGAATAATTAGGGATCGAGTCTCATCAGTCACAGTCTGGGAGCAAGGGATCAAGTCTCATCAGTCACAGTGTGAAAGTAACCTTTCAAACTGAGGGGCTACTTTTCAGCTGAGTTATTATGATTTACGTACACTGTGTGAGCAACCTCTTAAACTGAGGGAGTCTTTTTTTAACTGAATTATTATGATTTACATCCTCTCAAATGTTCTGTTGAATATTCCACCTTAGGGAAGAAGAAAGATTGCAAAAGTGGGCACTCCACTACTCCCTTTTTCGTTACTTTACTGCTTCTCTATTAATTGCTCTTAACCAATTCCGATCCGTGACTGACGACGACCATTCTTTTCTTCCAGGCTAGCTTGTGTCGTCGTCTCCACTTGGGCTTCATTGCTGACATTCTTTCCCATAGAAACAAGTTTTCTTTCTACTATACCTCTTAGCTTGGATCAATTCCTGGAAATTACGTACTATGCAATGGATATTATCCCTTGGATAGTTGTGACATCTCTCCTCCTTATTGGAAGGGTAATTTGCAGAGAAGATAATGATGATGATGTGAACATTGGAGCCATTTTTTCATTTGGGACAACTAATGGGCAAGTAGCAAGAATTGCAATGTCTGCTGCAGTGGTAGATATCAATTCTGATCCCACTATCCTTGGCGGAAGAAAGCTCAATCTCTATATGCACGATTCAAATTACAGCGGATTCCTGGGAATTGTGGGAGGTAATTCAAAACCCCAATCTTTTCTTTTTCTTTCTTGTCTTGAACTTAGATGATTTGCAGTCATATATCACACATGGATTGATGATATGATGCAGCAATGAAGTTCCTGGAGACTGATACCGTAGCTATCATTGGCCCCCAAAGTTCTGTAATGGCCCATGTGCTTTCCCACTTCGCAAACGAACTCCATGTCCCATTTCTATCCTTCACGGCCTTGGATCCCACTCTCTCCCCTCTCCAGTATCCCTATTTCATTCAAACTGCGCCCAATGATCTGTTCCTCATGACCGCCGTGGCGGATATGGTTAGCTATTTTGGGTATAGTGAGGTGACCGCTGTCTTCTCCGACGACGATCAAGGCCGGAATAGCATTGCCACTCTGGGGGATAAGCTTTACGAGAGGCGCTGTAAGATTTCTTACAGGGCGATACTCCCACCTGACCCCTCGGCCACTCGGCAGGACATTAAGGATGAACTGATACGGGTGCGGTTGATGGAGTGCCGGGTAATTGTTGTGCATACCTTGTCCTTAACGGGTATTCTGGTGTTTGAAGTGGCCAGGGATCTTGGGATGATGACAGATGAATATGTTTGGATTGCCACTTCTTGGCTTTCCACTTTCTTGGACTCTTCTTTAGCTCCAGTTTCCACTAGAGTTGCCAAAACCATGCAGGGGGTCCTCACGCTTCGGCCTTACATACCGGATTCCGAGAAGAAAAGGGCTTTTTCTTCTAGGTGGAACCAGTTGAGCAATGGCTCTGTTGGGTTGAACCCTAACGGTCTATACGCTTACGACACGGTTTGGATGATCGCAATGGCAGTGAAACAGTTGCTCAATGATGGCGGGGTCATCTCCTTCTCTGATGATTCCAGGATGAATAGCTTTAGCGGAGGGGCACTAAACCTTGGTGCCCTAAGCATCTTTGATGGTGGGGAGCAGCTGCTAAACAACATTCTCAAGACTAATATGACAGGCGTCACGGGAGCTCTGGGATTTAACGTTGCAGATAGGTCTATAATCCATCCTTCTTTTGACATCCTTAATGTTGTTTTTGGGAATGGGAAGAAGCTATATAGGCAGATAGGGTACTGGTCTAACTATTCTGGGCTGTCTGTTGTGCCCCCTGAATCTCTTTATGGCAAGCCGCCTAACCGTTCTAGCTCGGCCCAGCATTTGCATGGCGGGGTGATTGTATGGCCGGGACAGACCACAGTTCAGCCGCGTGGGTGGGTTTTTCCCAATAATGGGAGACGGCTAAGGATTGGAGTCCCCAACCGGGTTAGTTACAGGGATTTTGTTTTTCAAGATTATAAGGATAATGGCGATGTAGTCATCACTGGATTCTGCGTTGATGTTTTTCTTGCCGCCATCAAGTTGCTCCCATATGCTGTGCCACACAAGTTCGTCCTGTTTGGGGATGGGCACAAGAACCCGAGCTATACTGAGCTTGTAAATATGATCACATCTAATGTAAGTATATATAGATTTTAATATATAGCAAGCAAAGCTAGCTAAGTGTCACCGGCCTAAAGTCCAGCTCAGCGCCCAATGCCTGTGCATCGTCTCGGGACCCTCTTACTGACTAGCCTTACCCTTTATATGTGCTAAACTGGCTTCACCATATTATGAGCTCGTTAGGGAAACGGCAATAGTTTCCAACCAATTGTGCCCAATTGGGTCAGTATGCCTAACTCGGTCAGACTTTAGTATCTAGGGCAGAATGAACAACCATTAATGCTATTGTGGCTCACAAGCTAGCTGGCCAGTTGATCCATTCATTCATTGGGTCTAACACGATCAGGTAAACCGTGCTTGACATAAGTCTCTAATATGATCTTGTCCCATCACAGGCATTCGATGCAGTTGTTGGTGACATTGCAATTGTGACAAACCGCACAAAGATTGTGGATTTCACACAGCCATACATAGAGTCAGGGCTAGTGATAGTGGTACCTATCAGCAAGTTGAAGTCTAGCGCTTGGGCTTTCTTGCGCCCATTTACTCCATTAATGTGGGCAGTCACAGCAGCCTTCTTCCTTTTCGTGGGAGCTGTGGTTTGGATTCTAGAGCATAGAACAAATGATGAATTCCGAGGTCCACCCAAGCAACAATTCATCACCATTCTATGGTACCTGCCTACTATATATACATAATAGTGTTTCAATACATATATATATGCATGATATGTTGTATATTTATAGTATTATGCTTTTAATTTGCAGGTTTAGCTTCTCAACCATGTTCTTTGCCCATAGTAAGTATCTGCAATTGCTAATTAAGCTAGCCTCCTAGCGTATCACTATAATCGGTGGTCTAGGCGGCCGCTGTCTAAGCGTTGCCTAGGTGTTGACCGCCTAAGTGTCAACTAGGCCTCTTAGGCACTGACTAGGCAGCCTAGGCACCGACTAGGTCGCCTAGTCAGCCTGTTAGATATTGTTCTCTTCTTTCTTAAATTGGTGATTTCACCGAAAACAACGCAGCGAAATAACCCTAAATTGTTCAAACACTAGATTTTTTTTATTTATTTCCCAATGCAATTATGCATATATATGTAACCCTAATTAATGATATGATGTGCGCACGTACGTACAGGGGAAAATACAGTGAGCACTCTGGGTCGTATGGTCCTAATCATCTGGCTGTTTGTGGTTTTGATACTGACCTCAAGCTATACTGCGAGCTTGACATCAATCCTAACAGTGCAACAGTTGTCTTCCTCCATCAGAGGCCTTGAATCCTTGGCAGCCAGCGGCGATCGAATCGGATTCCAGGTGGGATCGTTCGCCGAGAGCTACTTGAGAGAAGAAATCAACATTGCCAAATCCAGGCTAGTCGCGCTGGGCTCGCCGGAAGAATACGCAGACGCCCTTCAAAACGGAACTGTGGCGGCCGTCATCGATGAACGCCCATATATTGATGTATTTCTGTCAAAGTACTGTGGATTATTTCAGATCGTCGGTCAAGACTTCACTAGAAGTGGCTGGGGATTTGTAAGTATATATATAACATCATATTAGGATCAAATGTTTATCACTGAATTATTGAATTCATCTGATCTGCAGGCTTTTCCCAGAGACTCTCCATTAGCCGTCGACATGTCAACTGCTATACTTGCGTTGTCGGAAAACGGAGAGCTTGAGAAGCTGCGGGAGAGATGGGTGAATAGAAGAATGGGGGGCTGTGAATTGGCAGCAGGGTCAACAGGGAGCGTTGACCAACTCCAGTTGAGTAGCTTTTGGGGTTTATTTCTCATCTGTGGAGTTACGTGCTTGCTGGCTCTGCTCATTTACTTCTGCTCACTATCGCGCCAATTCAACAAATATTATCCTCAACTATCGGAGTATCCTCACACTACGCCGCCTACCCCGGCGGCGCGTATTAGGACCTTCTTAACTTTTGTAGATGAGAAGGAGGTCTCCAACAACAAGTTCAAAAGGAAGCGCATCGAAACAACAACCACCGCTACTACTGCAAATGAGGATTAATTTGAGTA